TGCACAAATTTTTGTGCACCGGGCCTCTAGTCTATATAATAAAAGCCTAAGCAACCTTTACAGTGGAACCACCAGAATGACCAGTCACTATGATGCGCACTGACCACCAGGGGGCAGACGCTCAATGCAGGAGCTGCCCCCTGGTGGTCAGTGCACTCCCACAGGGGCTCGCAGCTGGCAAGCACAGTGGCGGTGGCAGGAGCCTCTCCCACCTCCACGGCAGTGCTAAGGAGCAGCAAGCCAAGTGGTAAGGAGCAGCAAGCAGGCAGGCGGTAAGGAGCAAGTGGTCCCGGACTGCGAGAGAGTGCAGACTGGACTGAGGGACCCCTCCCTCCCATGCATGAATTTCATGCACCAGGCCTCTAGTCCTATATAATAAAGAGGGAATATGCAAATTGACCATCACTCCACCACAAAGATGGTGGCGCCCACAGCGGGGGCAGGGGGTTTTCCGTAACACAAGATGGCTACACCCACAGTGGAGGCTGAGTTCCCATAATGAGCCTTAACGAGCAATCAATAGGGACCTGAGGGGCTTGACAGGGGACCTCAGGCCACGCCCCCCACCCTGGTGCCAAGCCAGGGGACCTCAGGCTGAGCTCCCCACCTGGCGGGGCTTGACGGGGTACCTCAAAGTGCACCCCCCACCCTGGTACTGGGCCAGGGAACCTCAGACTGCTCCCCTCGCCCAGGGCCGGGAAACCTCAGGCCGCGCCCCCTGCCCAGCAGGGCTTGACGGGGGACCTGAGGCTGCACCCCCCACCTGGCAGGGCTTGACTGACAGGGGACCTCAGGCCATGCCCCCCACCCCAGCACCAGGCCAGGGGACCTGAAGCCGCGCCCCCCACCCCAGTGCTGGGCCAGGGCACCTGAGGCTGCGCCCCCCACCTGGCGGGGCTTGACAAGGATGGAACTGGCCAGGTCTGGATCTAGCCCAATGGATGGGGGGCGGCCGGGTCTGGGTCTCCTGCGATTTTGAGGCCCACATTGGTAGGCAGGGACTTGACTCTGGGTCCTGTGGCGTGCCCCAGACTCTGACAAGAGGAAGATTTTCAAATACATTTTACTAATTTTCTTTCATCTCTGACACTTCTATTATAGAGAAAGGGCAAATAGCAATATTAAAATATTTCCTCTAATTAATCCCCTTTTAATATGCACGAATTTTGTGCACCTGGCCACTAGTTTTTAAATAAAATCTGTCATATTCTTAGATACCAAATAATACCACTGCTTTCAAAAACATACTTCCTGACCATAGTTTATAGACCCAGAGATGGGTGCAGGGATGGTTGGTTGACCTAAGCCAGGACCATCAAAGTGACTTTTCTAAAGGGATTCAGTCACTGTCTGGTTATACAAGGCACAAAGGTCATGCTATCATGTAAAGAGGGCCAGTCTGCAGTAGGAGATACTGAAGATGACATGCAGAAAGAAGCTGATTAGTGAGATCCAGATTCAAGTCCTGGCAGTGTTCAAGGTCTTGGTTCCAGTTGTTCCTGAGGCCCAGCCGTATTCCTGTGTCTCCTGAGGTTTTGTTGTTCAACTCTACACATTACACTTTTGTCTAAGCTACTTTTAATTAAATTGGGGTTGGGGCTCAATTTCTAACAAAGAGTCCTAAAAATTCTCTACCCTTGGTTTTTTATTCTCACATCATTTATAGCCAGCACTGTCGAAGAGCCCCAAGGGAGAAACCAAGGCAACTCACTTTTTAGTCATTTTCTTATTTGACATCTCTGCTCCAATTGACTACTAATTGATTTCTCTTTTTTGAAACACTTCTCTTATGTTGAAGACTCCTCATTCTCCTTATTCTCCCCCTTCTGCCTCTGGCTCATCCCTTCCCCCTCTACTACAGATGACATCTTTCTCTGATTATTCCCTCACCACTACTTTTCTCTAAAGCTCTACTCTAGGCAAACTCTGTACTCCCCAAATGAAATCACTCATTTTCAAGATTTCAGTCAACATTTATGTGTTGATGACTCCCAACTTTTGTTTTCATGCTTCAGAGCCATGTATCCAGTTGCCAATTCAACATCTCTGCCTAAATGTTTACAGACACCTCAAATGCAACACATCCAACATTGAACTCATTGTTTTTCTTTTTCCTGTACTCCTCACCTTAATGACTAGCACGGGTGTGCATACACACACACACACACACACACACACACACACGCACACCTAAGCCAGAAACCTGGGAATCCTCCAAGCTTTCTCTCTCTCTCATTCTAATATTCAACCACCATGTTTCATCAGTTCTACCTGCTGCTCTCTCTTGGTTTGTCAGATTTCCCCCTTTACTTGATATTAATGGTAAGGGAGTTATTTTTCATAAATTAGAAATAGTCCAAAATGCCCCTTCTTACTCACAAAATTGTAACAAACAGTTTGTAATTGGCTATGTGAGTTATTATCATGACTGGTCTAGTAAGCATATTACACACACCTAACTCTTGAATCTTAGCCTCTCTCTCTAGCCTTTCCATCTTCTGCCTGGGTCAGGTCTTGGTTTCCACCCGGGGAGGGATTCAAAATTCTTTGTGGAAGTATGTCATGCCTCCATGAGAGAAGAGGGACATCATCAAAAGCTAGGGCTCTTGACTCCACTACTACTTCAATCAGAGCAGTGCTAATTGATTATTTGATTTCTATACTGGGATCCAGGAAAATGTTATTAGAATAAAGGGTTCCTTTTGCCCAAAGAAAGAGAGGGGGAGAAATTTTATTTTTTTATTTTTTAACTGTTTTTACTATAATTTTTGTGAACAGAAAGATAACTACAGAGAGCTAACTATGGACATAAAACTATCTCCAGCTGCTTCCTTCTAACACACAAACCGTACCTGGGTAGAAAGGGGTAACAGTTAATAGTGCTACATTTCAAAATCATTCTGATTAAATTAGGTCCTGACAAATTCTTCTGGGTTAAAAAATGCTAAGTCAGAAGAGGAGGCAAGTGTGCACAATCTCCACTTCCTCCCATTTTCACAGTGTTGCACCCTGACTTCACTGACTTGCACTTGAAGTAAACCTGTACCTGAATTCTGGGAAATGTCACAAACAACAGACCTTCTAAATCCAAGGTATTGCTTTAAGCCCATTATTATGAGTTTATAGTAGGTGGTTTAACTTTGGGGTAGACCTCTTTAGATATCAATGCTAATGATCTATTAAACCTTTATTTTTAATTACAAAAAATTTAAAATTTTTCAATTATAGTTGACCTATTAATCATTTTTACAACTAATGGCTGTTCTAATGGTAGTCAAGAAATGACCAAGTGGGGTACCTCAACTGTCAGTGTTTCCTGTGTGCTTTTAGTGAAGTTAACTGTCTGCACTATAAAATCTTATGGTTTGATTGAAAGGCTTGTTTTGACTGGTAACTGATATTAAGATCAACAAAATGATTCTGAATCCCTCTTTGCTACAGAAGAATTAGATGCAAATTTGAACGGCCTGAGCTAATAAAATTATCCACCAATCACTTTCCTTCAGGTTAAAGCAGCCAGCAGTCTTCCATGGCATTTCCTATATAGAAGTTTGTGTAACTTTGTGACAGATAAACTGGTCATAGCTAAATTTATTGAGTTAAGTCCTTCATCAGAAATCCAAACCTTAATTCATATTTTGTCCTTATAGAAAAATACAATCCATTTTATGAGTTTCTATAAATAAATTATGGATAAAAAATAGACACTGTTTCTAATGGTCTCCTTGGGAAGATACCCATGCAGACTGTAACATTTAACTTCAAAATATATTTAATTCTTTTCTATCCTTTTTTGTTTTCCAAGTGACTAGTAATAAATAAACTAATGATTACTATGTGGTAGGGAAAAACTTTTTAGTCATTTTTCCATCTAAGAATTTCATTAAATGAACATGTGGCATATCTTGTAGTAATATGAATAGACAATAACTGGAAATCCAGTTTTACTTTTTAAACTACAAATGGTTGGCAACTGTTTCCTTAATAGTTATTGCAGGAGTAGGTCCAACATGAGTCCATATATAGCCCTTTTCTGGTCTGGTGGGAATTGTGGGAAATGGTGATGAAAGTGACTTGAAATATTCAGAGAATGCATGATAAACAAACTCCAAGTATCCCATCTTCCTGGGAAGATCCTCCTCTGGTCCTACGATGTAGGATGCAGGATCGAATCGGTCCGTGGGGCTAGAAAGAGTGGGGATGAGCCACGTCAGTGCTGCGCTCTTCTCACAGTACTGGTCCTGGATAAAACCCCGGATCTGAGCATAGTAGGATTTTCCATCTTGCTCATCAATCACAGAAACAACATCTCCAATTTGGTAATATACCCCCTTGTAGAAGATTGATTCTGCAGTGATTATGGTGGAAACTGACTCAGGCGCTTTGATGGGGTTTTTTAATTTAAAAATATGTCTTCTCCCTTTTCCTTTAGTGGAAACTTTCTTCTCAGCAGCTGGAGCAGACTTGTACTTGGTGTTGCAGAGCCGAGCAGACCTCCTGTGAATTTCCTGCTTGCTCTTCTG